TAATTTAAGTTTAATAATAAAACAATTTATTTTTGGTTTAATATTATAAATTTTATAAAGATAATAATTAAGTATTCTGTTATAATTTAATGATTATACTAATTATATTTTAGATTTTTTATATTTAAAATGAGATGTTTATCCTGTATTTGATTGTGTTTATCTGCAGTTAGTTACACGAATTCAGATATGAGAAGGGTTTAAGAGTTTCAAGAGTTTTAAGAATTTTAAGAGGTTTTAAGAGTTTTAGCCAAATGCTTTATAATATAGTATAGATATATATATATATATATATATATTCAAAAAATATATTTTTTTTCGGAATTTTACAATAATTGACATCTAAACCTTTTATTTGCACTTTCTCATTGTATTTAGTATTATCGTTTAAACCCCCTACTACTTATTAATTAATTAAAAAAATTCCAACATTGGTTTTTTAAATTAAAAATAAATACCCTTTAACAAGGGAACAAATTATTAATTTTTTTTTGATTAACCTGGATATTCAATCTGTTATGCGAACCGATTAATCTCAGGACGACCATCTGTTTTGCAAATAGCCTGGAGTCATCGCATTTGAACGTCCGTGACCACAAGAGGATTTTTATTCTCCTTGGATTTGAATTTGGGACCTCCTAGTACTTTTGATTTTTGGAGCCGAACACAAACCAATCAGTTACCACCTCTTTAAGTTTTAAACACATTCCAAAGCAAAGACTAAATTAAGAAAGCATTAATTGTAATTAATATATATATATATATCTCCCATTTTCCGGCAATTGAGCCACCAAAGGGTGTAACAATTACGGATTTACGGTACAAAAGAGGCTTTCTTCAAATTTAATACAATCATTCTTCTCCAAGCAGAAGAAATACATACACTCACAGTATTCAAAACCAAAAACATTCCTCAGAAAAAGAAAAAGCCAAAAACCCTCCTCAAAAACAGAACCACCAAATAGCAATGCTTGCCTTTTTGCTACCTATTCACCTTCTCTCTCTATCTTTCTTCAAGTTTTAGGGTTCTTCTGCTCATCTTCTGCTCACATTGTAAGTAGTACATGAAGTACTTCATGGGTTTGAATTTGTTTTGCTCAATTTTATCATATAACTAGAAAACTTTGGGAAATGTGCTTACTTTTTTGGTTATTTTTTTTCAAGATTCTTCTTGTATATTTGTTGTTTCCAAGCTGTTTTAACTTCAAATCAATTTGATCTCTATCTTTGTATGTTCAAAGTTCAATTCTGTCTTGATTGTTGTAAATTTGATTGCTTAATTTGTGGGGTGCTCTTAGGTTATCATACTTACCATGTAAAAATGGCAAAGAAGAGAAAAATACATTGTTTTGTTTCTGCATTTTGACAAGATCATTCTCTTATATTTAGATGTTTGTCTTGTGTGGTAGCTAGTTTTGTGAGGCTTTCTTGAATTCCTTTCTAAATGCTACCTTTTTAAGGGTTTTGCTTGTGGAATTGAAAGAAAATAGGGGTGTATGCTTTGGGGTATTAACTAATGATGGATTTTTTTTGATTAACCTGTATATCCAACCCGCTATGCGAGCCCGGAGTCACCGCATTTGAACCTCCGTAGCCACAAAGGGATTTTTGTTCTTTCTTGGATTTGAACCTGAGACCTTCTGGTACTTTTGACCTTTGGAGCCAAGCTCAAACTAATCAGGCACCACCTTTGTGGTTCTAACGATGGATTATTTGAAATGGAAGATTTAAGTTGGTTCATAGTTTAGAATTTTTCATATTTTTGACTTGATTTTTGTTGGGAAATGTGTAAATTCAATAGAGCTCTTGATTCTTCATATTTCTGAATCTTGCATTATGTGCTTTTGTGCCAAAACGCTTTTCTCTTACTTTTATCACCATCTTTTCTGTTTAAAGTTCAATCTTTGAATGCTTTTATTCATGGGTTTCTCTTTGATTATAGGTTTTGTTTGTGTGTGTGTGTGTGTGTGTGATCTTTTCATGGTTGCTCCTATGTTTACTCCATTTGTGAGTGTTTTCTGGGATACTTGGCTCTTAGGAAACAAGTGCTTTTTTGTGGTTTTTCTTTTGGTTATAATTCATTAAAAGAAATCTGTTTTTAGGGTGTTTTTTCCTGTGGAACTTAAAGAACACAAAGTTGAATGGTTTGGGCATAAATTGATGATGGGATATTCACAACCGAAGATTTATACAGTTGCAATGATGGGTTTATTGGCGATTTTAGCCACGCCAAATTGTTTCGGGAATACTGATCCTCGTGATAGTAAGTCTTGATGATCCCTCATTCACTTTATTCATTATGAATACTATTTTCAATCTTCAATTGTTGTTTCCTCATTTCAGTTTTTGCAATAAATAGTCTATATGCTGCCCTTGGCTTCCCTCCTCTTCCCGGATGGTTACTTAGCGGAGGAGACCCGTGTTCTGAAGGTTGGCAAGGTGTTCAATGTGTGAATTCAAACATAACTGGAATGTATGTATGATATATTATCATGTACCATTTTAGGAATATATATATATATATATATATATATATATATATATATATATATATATATATATATATATATATATATATATATATATATATATACGATCAGGTATAGGGAAAAAACCTCAAAAAACTGAAAAACTAAGGAACACCCAGATAACCGTTCATTTGGACCGTATGCACATGTGCATAAATGTAATTTGTAAGCAATTTGTCCGGTATGCACAGGTGCATAACATGCACATGTGCATAAAACCAAAAAGCAACTTCTATTACTTATATGCACATGAACATAAGGTCCAAATGAACACTTATCAGGGTGTTCTTCATTTTTTCATTTTTTTAGGTTTCCTTGAACCTCCTCCCCCCCCCCCCTCTCTCTCTATAAACCTAAGATTATCTCTAAATTGACAGAGTCCTTAATGATGCTAATTTGGGAGGTGAATTGAGTGAAAATTTGGGAGCTTTTGTTTCGATCATACAAATGTGAGTGTCGAAAAGATTCATCTGGTTTATAATTGTTCTTCAAGATTACACCTTGCGGGTATTTTATGATCTTCGATTGAACAGAGATTTGAGCAATAACCACATTGGAGGTGGTATCCCAGCAGATTTACCGCTTACATTAAAGACCTTGTACGTTATGTTTCAAGCCTTTTTTCTCTACATACATCATTTTATTCCACTTTTTCTCTGTCTATTGCTACTCACTAGTCTTTGTTCTTTTGACTTTTTCACAAGCTCATGGAAACAAAAACTATACCCTTTTTGTTGCTTACATATTTGCATTGTTTACTCTTAGCTTTCTTTCCGGAAACCAACTAACGGGAAGCATACCGGACTCCTTGTCCATGTTAGGCCAATTGACAGACTTGTAAGCTTCGTGATCAAGTGTCATCTTTGTCCATCTTTTACTGTTTTCTTCTTTAATCGACTCTTTTTCGTTGTAGGTCTTTGAACAACAACCATTTGAGCGGAATCATCCCGGATTCCTTTCAACAACTTACAGCATTGGTTAATTTGTATGGCTTCATTTCACTAATCCAAGTATTATGTTTATCTTATTATTAAGATTTTAAGTTTTCGAGCAGGAGTTGATCTGGTCAACTGCCTAGTCAAACATCAGTCCAAAACAAGCCTGGACCATTCCGAGGTTTGGTCTGATTCCATCCGCTTTTGGTCTGTCGATTTTTTCCAACTCTAGTCTCTAGTCTTCACAGAAACAACTCGTCTACTCTTGGAGGTAGAGATACAATATGGTATCTACTCCATGTGGGATTGAATACCATGTAGTAAACATATTTGAATTTGGAGTCGGGTTTCATGTGGGGGTCCGTTGAGCTTTTCATAATCAGCTTTTTACCCAAAATATATTTGAATTTGATGTCTTATGCAGGGACTTGTCTGCCAACAATATAAGTGGCCCGTTGCCTCCTTCGATGACCAACTTGTTATCAATTTCTACACTGTAAGACATATGCTTTAAAATGCTAAAATTCGATCTTCCATTTCTTTATATATTTCCAAGCAAATTATGCCCTCATTCTTGATAAATCATTTTCAAGTTGGTTTCTTGAACTATTCTTGCAGGCACTTGGAGGACAATCATCTTATCGGGCTACTCACTGTCTTGCAAGATCTTCCACTTATTGATTTGTACTATTCTTGTCTTATATCTTTTTCCAATATAAACCTCCCTCAAAATGCCTATATTTTAACCACAAGGGTGGTACCTGATTGGTTTGAGCTTGGCTCCAAAGGTCAAAAGTACCAGGAGGTCCCAGGTTCAAATCCAAGGAGGAATAAAAATCCCCTTGTGGCCACGGAGGTTCAAATATGGTGACTTTGGGCTATCTGCAAAGCAGGTGGTTGCCCTAGGATTAGTTAGCTCGCATAGCGGGTTGAATATCCAGATTAATAAAAAAAAATGCCTATATTTTCCTCTCCATTTTTGGCATTATTTATGGATTATTATTGCTTACAGTTATTACTTTTTCGATAGGGATATCAAGAATAATCTTTTCTCTGGGCCAATACCCCCGAAGTTGTTGAGTATTCCGAATTTCAGGTAACAAATAGAACAAGTGTTTATCTCTTTTCCATGAAAATTGCAACGATTTCTATTTTTAGAAAGTACTTCTCAAAACATCTTTACAAGCCGAAGGTCTTCACGGAAATAACCTCTCTCATGGTTCCCTTTTTGCAAACTTTCAATGAAATTATGTATTTACCCATTGTCTTCATTGATGCTATTATTGAAAAGCATTGTAGACTTTTCACCAAAATAGAAAGTGTTTTTGACAGGAAAGGTACTTGCAACAAGTTTTCTTGTTCAAACTTGGTATTCAATCTCTAACATTCATATGTGAATTGCAGAAGCAAAGGAAACCCCTTTAATACAACCATTATTCCTTTGCCACCAGTCTCGTCTCCTTCACCGTCATCAACATTTGAGACACAACCTCCTGATATACAGCCCGACAATCAAGCACTTGGACCGTCTTCTCCAGTGCTATCACATTCTTCCAATGAACATAACTCTATATGGCATAATAAAGTGGTGTGGGTTGCCATTGGCGGATTCTTGGTTCTTATTTTACTTGCACTCGGACTTTGCGTTCGTATGTCAAGACGTCGGAAAGAAAAGTCGAGCATCAAAGTTAGTGGTCATGTGAAGAATCCTATGCTAAATAAAGAGAATGGTAACTTCACACTTTCATTTAAAACAACCATCGTACTTGCAAACATCTGCTTTACTCTTTCAAGTGGGTTCGTTTGGACGCATTTTAAGAGTTCTAGTTTCTAATACTATGTTATACAGAAGCTTCAAATGGAAGAAACGACTTATTGCCGAGGTTCAACTCAAAACAAGAGAAATTGGTAACGGTTTCTAAGCGTCCAACACCCCCTCTACCTCCCCAATCTCTTGTTGGAGAAAGGGTAGTCGTAAAACCGGTGGCAATCCCAACAACCACGGCCAAAAATGCAAATTTTCCTGGGGTTTTCTCGATTGCATCTCTTCAACAGTATACAAATAGCTTTTCTCAAGAAAATCTCATCGGTAGAGGCATACTAGGGACAGTTTATAGAGCCCGTCTTCCTAACGGAAAGGTAATCTTTTCTTAAATTCAATGTGATAGATAGTATAGCCTATTAGGCACTCATATCCTACTCTACAATGAAACGACCGCTCTACTCTTTGGGGTGGATACATCATATACCCCGGACCCCACCTCCAGATGGGATATACTGGGCTCGCTTGGTTTGAACTAACGTTGTCCTTTTCGACACTAATAACTTGTTCATCTACTTTGCGTTGTTTTAGCTATTGGCCGTAAAGAAACTAGAGAATGCAACTTTGAAGCAATGGAGTGATGAAGATTTCATGGGGTTGGTGTCAAATGTCTCAAAACTTAGAAATGAAAATATAGTTAGAGTCGAAGGTTATTGTTCTGAACACGGACAAAGACTTTTTGTCTACGAACACTGTAAAAATGGGACGTTACATGAAGCCCTGCATTTTGATGACGAGATTCATGAGAAACTTTCGTGGAATGCTCGTGTACGTTTGGCGCTTCAAGCCGCAAAAGCATTGGAGTGAGTACAATCTTTTAACTTGTATATTTCTTTCGAGTCCCATTTTCATTTCTTCTCATGTTAAGTAAACGAGATCTGAAGTACACTGACAACATGTAAATGGGGCCCACATATGAAAATATTACTCCTTCCGTCCCAAAATAAGTGTCCACATTTCTATTTCAGTTTGTCCCAAAATAAATGTTTCTGTTTTGAAGCCTAGGGGGTAAGAATAAAGAAGGTGCAAAATGATAGATGAGAATTTTTTTTTAAGTATATACGGCAAATACCCACGCACACTCCTCACCTTTGTTGAGCTGGTTTGAGCCCTTAACCTCGTGGGATACTGTCGGCCCAATGACCCATTGATAGATGACAATTGTTGATGGTGTGTGTTTTGTCTTTTTGATGTTCTGGTCAAGGTACTTGCACGAGGTTTGTAAACCGCTTGTTGTACACCAAAACTTCAAGTCCACGAATATTCTTCTTGACGACGAGCTTAATGTCCGTGTTTCAGACTGTGGTTTGGCTCCACTAATACCATCGAGCTACGTTAGTCAGGTAAACAATTCTCGATCTTGTTTTTTTTAATCCCGCATTGAAATTATTACAATCGGTGTTGACATGAGGTTAAATCAGTTGCAAGGTTTGGGGTACGGTGCCCCGGAATTGGAGTCGGGAAGTTATACTTATCAGAGTGATGTTTATAGCTTTGGAGTTGTCATGTTAGAACTTCTCACGGGTCGAAAAGCTCTTGATAGGTTATCTAATCTATTCATCCTAACATCTTCTATGTAGTACTCATTCCGTCCCAAAATAAATGTTCACAATGAAAAAGACACAATTTTAAGAGTAAATTACGTTTTTCGTCCCTATGGTTTGTGAAAAGTAAGAGTAAATTACGTTTTTAGTCTCTATGGTTTGTTAAAAATTGCAGTTTTCGTCCCTGTGGTTTCATAATTTTGGTTTTCATTCTTATAGTTTGCAATTCATTTCTATTTTTGTCCCTGAGTCCAAAACACTACTGTTAAGTATGAAGGACTAAAATAGAAATGAATTTTAAACCATAGGGACGGAAAAAGCAATAAATTTTAAATCATAAGGACGAAAAAAGTAATGAATTATACCATAGGGATGAAAACCGAAATTTTGAAACCACAAGGATGGAAATAGAAATTTTCAACAAACCACAGGAACTAAAACATAATTTAGTATTTAATTAACTAAATTATAATTTTACATTTAATAACAAAAAGTGTGATAAACTCGCATCTCATAATTAAGGATAGAATTGGAAAATAGACACTTATTTTTTTAAAAGAAACATTTATTCTGGGACAAACTTAGGGGGTGTTTGGGATTGCTTAATAAAACAACTTATTGACTTATTCCGGTGTGACACCGGTATAAGCATTTTAGAATGTTTGGATAAACAACTTATACCGGTGCTAAACTTGTAATAAGGAGTTTTTGAAGAAGTTAAATCCTTCTAACTTATAATAAGTTGATAAGTGTTTTTGTAGAAAAACATAAGTTGTTTCAAATAAGCAATCCCAAACACCCTCTTAAATAGAAATGTGGACACGAGACCGTTGGTGTAGATCCGATTAGAGATGTACAAAGCTCGGGCTTCTTCAAGCCTGGGCCTCCCAAGCCCGTTTTCGGTGAACAAAAAAGGACTCAAGCTTTGGCCTTGACCGGGCTTCTGGCTCACTAAGGCCTAGGCTTTTTCGGATCGGGTTTTGGGTTTGAGCTTGTTTTTGTGCATCTCTAGATCTGATACCTAAAAGCGAAACATTGACTTTTTCGGAAAGAATTTTTCTAATAAATGAAGTTTGACTTTTATAGGTCAAGGTCTCGTGGGGAACAATTTTTGGTAAGATGGGCGGTTCCTCGGCTTCATGACATAGAAGCGTTATCGAGAATGGTTGATCCTTCTCTCGATGCCGCATATTCATCCAAGTCTTTATCTCGTTTTGCCGATATCATTTCTCTTTGCGTTCAGGTTCGTCTCAACACTTGCCTTTTTCGCGGAACTATCATGCTATGTGTTCTTTTAAACTTGGGTTTTTTTGGCATTGAATGAATCTTTGCTAGTTTTAACCATTTTTTGGGTAATCGCTCGTTATATCTTGTACTTTTTGTTCGGGTTTGGTAGGCGGAACCAGAGTTCAGACCACCGATGTCCGAAATCGTGCAGAATCTTATGCATATGAGCAAGATAAACGAGTGAAACACGTGATCGTGGTCGGTCGATTTGCAGCAAATTTCGGTCGATTGGAAGGATGTTTCTTCAGGTGCCAAATTCTTCATGGGACTTCTGCTAATCTTTCTTGGATAATCTGGGATTTTTGTCTGTTATTAGTTAAATTTGTTGGTTTTGTAATGAAACCATTATAAATTTCATGCATTTAGTAATAGTAATTTGCCTTCCTTTAATGTCTATGAAGTGTAACAATTATGAGACCATATCTTTTTACTCCTAAACGGTTAATTGGTCAAAATAGTCATTTTTCCTACTTAAATTGATCTTTTAAGTCGTTTTTTTTCCAGATTTTACTTAAATGTCACTGCATCTGTAAGTTCCATGTCTGCCACTTGCAGACGTAGCTAAAAGACAAAGAAAAATTCAAATCATAGACCTGGCCGTCACAACTGCGGACTATAAACGGTGGACGTAGTGATATTTTGGTAAATTAGGGAGAGTAATGATAAGGAGACCAATTTATATGAAACAAGGGCTATTTTAGCCAATTTCCCTCCAAAAGCAGATCAATATGATTCTCAAAACTGTCAAACATAGGTATATTTTTAATACAGGGGCCATGTTGAGCACATGAACTAAAATTTTACAGCACATCTTTTATACTAACTGTCTTCTTACAATGTAGTGTGATTTATCTTGATTATGAAGTCGGAAACTTAATTTCTATGTCCCATTTAGTTTTATTTTTAGGGTGCGTTTGGTTTGCGGGAATGGAATGGATTTGGGAGGATTTGGATTTCAAATCCATTCCAATCCCATGTTTGGTTTGCCAAGTCATCAGGATTTGAAATCTCGGGAATCCCTTAAAATCCCGTAAACAAGGGATTTGAAAATCCTTTGGAAAAAGGCTGGATTTAGAATCCGGGCAAACCATTTCTTCTTCAACGCTTCATGCCCTAACGCAATCCTCGCTTTCCCCACCTCCCCACTGCTCTCGCCGGTTTCCCCTCCACCTCCCCACTGCCCTCACCACCGTCGGTGCTCTCCTCCTCTCCTCCTCTTCGTCCGCTTCCCCACTGCTCGCGCCTTCTCTCGTCATTGCAATCACCGGTGCTCTCTCCTCCTCTTCTCCGCCTTCTCTCATCAATCAGCAGGTAAGAACATATATCTGCCCTCGTTTGAAGATTAACATGTCTCCTTCCCAAATATGCATCCTATTTATTTTTCAATGTACGAACATATATCTGCCCTCGTTGTGTTTGTAGATTTGCATATGTTATTAGGTTTCAATCATCGTCTGTAGATTTGCATATGTTATTAGGTTTCAATCATCGTCTGTAGATTTGCATATGTTATTTCAATCATCGTCTGTGGAGTTGCATATGTTATTAGGTTTCTATCATCGTCTGTAGATTTGCCTGACTGTGGAATGGATTTCAAATCCAATCCAAATCCTGCAAACCAAACACAGGAATGGATTTTAAATCCAATCCAATCCAATCCAAATCCCATGGAATCCAAATCCCTCATAAGAATCCAAATCCCTCAGAAACATTCCTGCAAACCAAATGCACCCTTATGGTTTTTTAAAGTCATCACTACAACAAAACTGGGTTTTATAAGACATTATCAATTTCTAAACATCCTAATAGACCGCTTTATAGGACATAATTTATAGTAGTACAATATAAAACGTTCTATCTAAAGACGTTGTAATTAGTTTAAAAGATGTTTCCGTGAGTTTTAACAAGTTTCTTGGGACATTTTTAATACAAAGCGTAACATTAGCAATGATATAAAACATTTTTGAGAAATGTTCTATAAACTCATATTTTTATAGGACACTTTTTCAAATAGTGTGCTATGAAATTGTTAATCGGACGCTTTATATTAAAAGTATTGCAAAATATATGTTAAGTAAAAAAAATATTGTAATCAATTTGAAAAAAATATTGCATCCCATTGTTAATTACGTAACTGCCCATATTATTTAGAATCAAAATATATTACGTTACATAATTGAAATATTATATTATAAAACATTTGATAAAAACTCTTAAAAATCATTTATTATGCATGAAGTATTGTGTATTAATGCATATTACTTAAAATTTAAGATTACAAGTAAATTGTGCGTAAGTACAACTTATTAAAACTTTATGTTTGAATTCGTATAACTAACTGCAGATAAACATAATCAAATAAAAGATAAACATCTCATTTTAAATATAAAAAATCTAAAATATAATTAAGATAATCATTAAGTTTTAACAAAATCATTATCTTTATAAATTTTTGTTGTTAAGCCAAAAATAAATTACTTCACTAAATCATAAAAACATTATTTTTCTCAAAACCAGATAAATCATATTATATTAACAGAGACAAAAAATAAAACAAAACATTAAAATAAAGATATATCTTGTTAGTGAAATTCCAATTCTATTTAAAAAGAAATTTAAAAAAAAATAAAAATTGATTTTCTGGAATAGGTGGTACGATGCCTATGTAGAGAGAGAGAGAGAGAGATTTTCCAGGAAAACCAGGCTTTTGGTATCACATTCCTCCAAATAATTTCAAAATTTTCAAACCTTTCAACAACATCTCTTAATCAAAATCCCTCTGGTTTTATCCCTTTTCTGATTTTGATCCTATCGATAAATTCTTGCGTTTCCTCAGTCAAACCCTTTTCTCCTGCAAAAATCAGACACCAATTTCGTTATTTTTACAAACCATTTCCTCCGCAACCGGCGCTGTTTTCCGTCGACGGAACAAGGGTTTCTGCTAACGTGTGCGCCCTATGTATTTTGAAAAAGGTTTCTGTTATTGCCGCATTGTAGACGTGGAGGAGGTTGGGGGAGTCGATGGATGACGTCAGCGTTGTTATGGTGGGTCCCAGGAAGGTATGGGGTACGTGGGAGGAACTTATCCTCGGCGGTGCTGTTCTCCGGCATGGGACCGGCGACTGGGACGTCATTTCGTCGGAGCTCCGAACACGAACCGCTTGCCCATATTACTTCACCCCTGAGGTTAGACATTACTTATTTTTGGCTCATATAAATTGATTTATGATTTTACCAATAAAGTTTTAGAGCTTTTGAGCCATGGAACCTAGGATTATGAGACTAATACATTTGAAATTGTGTTGTATTATTGGCTCCAAAACGTTTTGTTAATTAAAGTATTGAATTGTTGGTTAAATGATTAAAATACACTTGAAGAAAAACAAGTTAGGGATGATATAGTAATGAAGGAGATGGATACATAACCATGATATGCGGGCCACTATATACACTTATACGTACAAAAATAGGCAAAGGATCACGTGAGAAGTGAAGTTACAGTGAGAAGCATAAGAAGAAATCTGAACCCTCAATCACTTTTAATCTCATGCACACCCATGAATTGTGTTTTAGAAGGGAATTGATCTGGTGCATCTCATTAGTGCTGACATTCAATTAGGATTGATCCAAGGGTGGAAATCTCTTCTTACGCTTCTCAACATAACTTTCCTTTTCACCGGAACCCAACCCTACAAAAACATATACATACATATATACATATATATATGTATATATATATGACCGCTTGTGCCACTATCACCAATATTAACCAAGTTAAAATTTTAAGCCATTGCATACGCTGTACAATGAAACAAAACATAAATAATTTACGCTATCCCGAAAAAAAAATTGTGGTGCCATGGAACCCCACTCCATTGAGGGCTATTCGTTTGGTTCTTAATGTACATGTAGCTATTGATTGACCTTCAGTAATTAAGAAGAGAAAATGCTATGTATGCAGAAGAACAATAAATAGACGTTATGGATAATTATTAAGAAAAGAAAATGCCATGTATGCAAAAGCAAAATCGAACATAAGTCGTTTGCATTCCAAAAAACCAAAAGACGATAATAAATATTGAACAAGAACCTTAAATCAAGATATAAATTGAACCCTAAAATCAAAACCTAAATCTTGTGCTCTTGTAGCGTAGGGGTTTCAATTTACAAAGAGAGATCCCTAGGGCGGGGCTTCCAATTTATAGTGAGAGATCGAGGGGAGGGCAAGTTATAGGCAAGCTTTTGTGTTGCTAGAGTTGTGGACTTTTGGGTCATCATTCCTGATTGAACCGTGGGAGGGGCGCTAGACACGTAACATATGAGGTAATTCTGGTGTGATTCATGATGTGAACGCACACACACACATATATATATATAGGTGGAAGTTCAAACGAGAACCTCTATGATTTATGAGAATGCGAGAACAATCTACTAACCTCAAACCTTTTTAATCAATAATTTAAGTTATATTAAATAAAAATAAAGCAATAAGGGCAGTAATGTAATTAGGTTTCACAATTTGGGTTCGACTACAATCTGTTCGATTTTTGATTAGGTTTCACAATCACACGATTATCACATCCCGATCGTGTATAGATTATCAGACGACTATCACATCCAATCGTGTATAGATTATCAGACGATAATCACACGGTTATACCCGACTGATCACGTTGTTTTGGTTTATTAGGTTCGCGTATCACACGAATATCACAATGGTATCATACACGATGAATACAAAACGATTGTGATGGAAAATTTGGTGGTTGTATCGATCTTCTGGATCGATTATCACATGTGATCACACGATTATCACACCAAAATAGAGCATTGAATCCAATGCCTCCATAAGATTAAACAAGAAAATGTTTCAACTTCTGTTGAACAATAGAGCATCTCTATTCTAGCAAACATGAGTGAAACATGAAAAAGTATGGTGAAATTGCAATTACTATTCAACTATCAGCAAAACTTCTTTAGAATGAGTCTGCAGGTTAGGATAGAACAAAATTAATTGATACACTATTGGGATAATAGAGCATTAAATCCAATGACCGCAGAAGATAAAACAAGAAAATGTTTCAACTTCTGTTGACAATAGAGCATCTCTGTTCTAGCAGACATGGGTGAAACAGGAAAAAGTATGGTGGAATTGCAATTACTATTCAACTATTAGCAAAACTTCTTTATAATGAGACTACAGGTTAGGATAAAACAAGATTAATCATATGATAACAATATGATAATAGATTGATGTGAAAATTATTTGCTATTCTCTTTGTCATTAGCTTATCACATGATTGTCACACTTGAATCGAACAGTTGACCCTAGTCGAACCAATAGATTGTAGTTGGCTTTCTTGTGGTAATCGTGTGATTGTGAAACCTAATCGAATTGAAGATATTGTAATCGAACCTACATACGAATCGTAATCGGTTACTGGTGGTGATAATCGTGTGATTGTGATAACTGTATGATTGGGGTAATGGTAATCGTGTGATTGTGATAATCATCAATGGATTATCACATGATTATCACACCCAGATTGTGTGATAAACAAACCTTCATTGAAATGTCTCTGCAACCTTCTCCCTCAATCTTCTTGTTGTGCTTTCTTCCTAAGTCGCTGTTCGATTTCTCCCTCTATATTCTTGTTGTTCGACTTCTTGCTACATAACTGATAATACAGTAGCTCGAGGTTGTTATCAATTCCCAGATGATCGGAGTCTTTTCTCTGAGATCGTGTTTTTTAAATTTTATCATTTGAATTCCAAGATTACCCTTCTGTCTCTCAAATCGTTTTGAATTGTTTTTAATATTATTTTAAATTTAAAAATCTTTTAATTTTTTTGTTATCACATTACTTGGTTAGTAGGTTGTTCTCGTGTTCTCGTAAATCACAGGGGTTCTCGTTTGAACCCTTCCCTATATATATATATACACGGAAGTTTCGTTAGGAGCCCAAAATTGATTATGAACCCAGGAACCGCCCACAACGCGTCACTTGTCTCTCTTCACGATGGATATTCATCATGACTAACACATTTTTTATGAATATGAACGTGTTATTCATCATAATCACACATTCATGATGAATACGTTACAACATTCATGATGAATAACACGTTCATATTCATCATGAATATGCCATGTGTCACTCGAGGGGCGGTTCTCGGGTTCCTAATCGGTTTCAGGTTCCTAACAGAATCTGTTTCTATATATCATCATTTAACAGATGGAAGTTAAAAGATATTAGAGGGAAGGACCATTCCGAGTGAAAATGCAACCCATGATGTAGGAACCAAAATCAAGAAAATCGAAAAATCATAGGGACCAAAAATTTAATTTACTCTAGATGGTTTTTGTACAATAAAGATAAATTAATTGGAAGCCTAAAAGGAAGTTTACAGGTACAAGAAAAGTTCACAAATCAAATGGGGAGATCAAAGAAAGTTTATGGGTGTTTTCCTCTATTGACCCATATGTTAAATTACCAATATCATGTAATAATCAAGGTTCTAAATGACATGAGGCATGGCATGGCGGAGAGGTGAAGCCTTATGAGTTATGTGTGTAAGTGTTTAGAATAATACCGTAGAACGATTTAAATTCATATAAAGTTATGAAACTAGAAAAGAAAGAACTATTGATATCAAATATATAGAGCTTCTAAGAAAATGATATCAAGATTGTAAAATCGGGATTAAATCTCGTAAGTCTCTATTCACTACTTTTTTCAATCTTTAAGGAATTCGTGTTTGACTTTTCATGTAGGGGAATGCGAGCAAGTATTTACCTATTTAAGGTTTTAGTTTTTTAAGTTCCATTTTTATGTTTATTTAAGTTTGTCTCATACATAATTATCATTTATCCCTGAAGTTCAATATTAAAAAAAGTAAAAAACCCCCACCTTACAAAATAATGCGTTGTAATGCGTTACAATGCAAGCCAAGCCTTCGAGTGGAGTGACACGGTTAACCTAGCGGCGAAGCCAAACCTTGACGCCATAACGTGCCAAAACGAGTTATTTAGAGCCATGGTAATAAGTACTAAAGGAGAAAAAGTAAATTTGGATTGAGAACTTGTCAAGAAAAAGAAATGTTATGTTTTTATGGGATTAACCAAAAACGGAAGTGTTGATTTTTTGGGACGAAGAAAGTATTAGTGTTGATGATGACAATATTCTTTATTTCATCAAGATCGATTTCCTGGCAAAATTCTTGGAAAGAGGCTACCATGAATGCACGAGTGTCTTTCTCGCTTGTTGAATTCTTATATCAACAGCTAGAGGTTGTAGTCGTTCGATGTGTTGTTTCAACTTTCATCCCTATACCTTTGGATTCTTGACCACAAACATAACGTATATAGGACATCATTGTACAATTCACTTGCACCTCCTTTTCATGATTACCTTCCAATTCAAGAAGCCGATTTCTCATGAATGAAACCACCTTAGTCCACTACCGTTAATCCTCTTCATCATCATTCTATTTCCATATCTTTTGAATCCATCAAGATGAAGACAAAAAATTGGGTGCTCAACAAGATTAAGCAACAACATTACAACATTATACATCAGTAGCAACGTTGAGTAAAGGGTTGTTCTTGCTTTGTCCTACTACTACGGTATACAAGAGAAGGTTTAGGATGAAGGTAGATGATAAGGAAAAGGGCTTTTTAGGGATGAATATATAGAGAGAGAGGAGAGAAAGAGGGGTTAGTTTAAGAAATATGTAATTATTACACTTTCTAATTAATTGAATTGAACTACAATTTTACCATTAACTTTCTGTCTCCATCTCATCAACTTTTGAATTTTTGTGCATCATAATCAAATGTAGAGTTGGAAATGTGGTAAATTATAACTATCTATTTTTTAAAGTGCAAACTTATTTCGGGTTCAATTTTAAATAAAAAAACGTGGACGTTTATTTTGGGACCGAGGGAGTATTTCTTTGACTTAAAGTGGTAGTTAGATCTTTAGTTGTTTGACTTTAGAATTAATAAGTTGTTAACAAAATAATTTAAAAACAATTTTCAAATAGTAATAAAACAATAATTAAGAAAAAAACTCTTTCATAACCGCAGTTAGTTAATATGAAACAAAACTACAAAATATAATATCTATAAAAAATCATAGTTCGATATTCTTTATTTAAAATCGAGCATCGTCGTAAAAGTCATATTTTCTGAACTTTTCATTACAAATGATCAGCTTATAAAAATTGAAAATTTAGTAACCATGAATCGTTATTTATGTATATGAATTTCTTAACTACAATAACCTTGTTGTTATAAGTAAAAAGAAATTAAGAATGCTAATATAACAATCACATTTCATCCCACATTAAATTGTACACATCGTTAATAATGGTAATTTTTTGTCTTTAAGATTGTCCATTCAAAACAATTATCAAATGGCCATTTTTTATTCTGCACTAAATCATACATAGCGTCGTAAGCATTCTGTACCAGATCATCCAAATCTATCAAACAACTGCTAAGTCAAACTAAAAACACGATAAGACGCTTAAACTTCAGTTTGGCCATTCTATCATATGTTTGCCTTTTCATTGTAAGCTAACCATCATTCTTGTGAAAAGATCATATAAATAAAACACTATATCTTGAAAGAATGAGTGATATATTCGAAAATTTGTGGAAATGGAAAAACACTAGAAAAGACTATTTTGTTTGGCCTTTTTTCTTTCCAGAATCGTTCATTATTTCTCTTCTTTTTGCAAAAAGATGGTTAGAGAAGTTAATATAGATACACACTCGTACATACATATATGTACGTATGCACATAGAGGAAAGTTCAAATGACAAACATCAATATTTTGAGAACCTGAGAACCAACTATTTCATCTACTATCTATTGAACAATCCTTAATAATCATATATGTTATGCTCATGAATATCATGCATTTTTATCATGTATTTTCATTATGAATAATTTTCATCATGGATATCTACCATGAAATTCATCAATGAATAAAGCATGAATAGTTGGTTCTTGGTTCTCATTTGAACCTGACCCTACAAACATATATGTACACGTATGTATATGTAATATATTTGAAACAGTCAAAATACAGTTTGCAAGAATGTAGCCCTTTTGTTCAGTATGATGTGTATATAACTTTTTAGAACCATCGGATCTTAGTATCCATGTATTATGCACTTGCTTTATACCACTTGCAGGCATGTAGAGCAAGGTATGTAGATCTGCAACAACGTTATACGGGTTGCAAGTAAGTATCCCTTTTGTTCAGTATCATGTATTTACTCAATTATTTGAATCAGTTTGTTCTTTATGCAAATTTGACCTACATTTGAGTCATTTTGCTTCGTAGACTGAACTTCTTTTACATTTCCATCAAGGTTGAACATTACTTTTTTGAGTGGTTGATTTTTGAAACCACCGAACTTGGTTTTTTGTCTCAAACTAACCACTCTTCTTGCAAAAATGTCAAAAAAACACTAGAGTTTGAAAGAATTAGGGGTTTTCGACAAAATCTGGAAATATTGTTGTCATCTTTTGTTAAAAATCTTTCGTTCTTGTAAAATCTAGTGTTTTTGTTGCTTTTTTGCAAAAACAATGGTTTGTTTGCAAAGGGAAGTCAAGTAGGATGGATCAAAACGTCAATCACTCTATTTGATTTTGTGAAGCTTCAAGCGATCGTTTTTGAAGCGAGGCTTTAAATTTGTTGGTCGCGTTGGTTTTAATTCTTTAGATATTGGTATGACGAGCTTCGAGAACGTCGAGTTGCGGAATTGAAGCGAGAACTAGAGAAATCTGAAGAATCAATTGGGTTAGTATGTGTTTCATCTTTCTCTCATTCGGTCTTTTATATGAGCTATCGACTTTTCGAACCATTGTACTTGGCTTTTTTGTTGCAAACAAATCATCATTTTTGTGAAATTTTGGACAAAACAATGTCACGTAAGATGTATTCTGTGGAGCAAAAGGGTCCTCCTCGGAGGTCATGCAAGAACAATAGTTGGTTGGTTTGCAACAGAAAGCAAAATATGATAGTTGCATAGCTTTTATTTTCATTGGTTACTTCTTTGATCGATTTGGAACTTTTCTTTAGGTTTCTTGTATCGAAGCTTGAAAATCTAAAAGCTGAGAAGGCACATTGTGATCATATCGAATACGATTCGAGCCAAACTGAATCCCCACCTCTACCTTTACCAAAAACAAAAGGGATCAAGATTAAAACAATTCATAAAGAAGGATTGAAAGATGAATTTGAATTATCTGCCGGAAGTTTTACTCAAGATCTTGAAACAAACCCACAACCCAAATCTCACAGCCCTTCCCTAAATTCATCGCAAAATGTCGAAATAAAGCTACAAGTACCCGAATCCTGTATGAACACGATGATTGAACCAAGCCAAGAAAAAGGCGGAACGATTAGAAAAAGAAGAGGGAAGCGGAAAAGGAAAGACGGTAATTGGGAAGCAAAAGAAGGGATTGTGGAGAGCGAGAACTTGGGTTCGAGTAGTGGTGTTCGGCGGAATGAGACTTCGACGAGTGGTTGTGGTCAAACAGTGCGATCTTCGAGTGCGGATCTCCAGGATGGAGACTCGTGTAGAGGCAGAGAAACCGATGATTTGGTCGGGATTTTTAATTCTGTTACCGAGAACCAATATGCATTGGTCTTTAGACGACGGCTAGATAGCCAGGTAAACTAGCCTTTTAAAATTTATGTTATATCCTGCACACTTTTCATAGGTTGGAGGTCTTCACGTAAACAATTTTTTCATCACACCCTGAGACCCCACCTCCGGGTGTGATATACTGGTTTGATTTAAAACCATTCTTGAACACACTTTTTTCAAGAATGAGTAGCTTTGAATGAAAACCGGTTACTTTAAATAGGAACTAAACCAAAATTTGTTGCATTTTTGTCTATTTTTTAGTGGCTGATCAAACATTATTTCTTGCAGAAGAGAGCGCGGTATAGGAAAACCATCCGGCAACATATAGATCTTGAAACGATAAGATCAAGAATCGGTAATTGTTGTATCAAATCGACACGAGAACTCTTCCGAGATTTGTTTTTGCTTGCCAACAACGCGCTGGTGTTCTACTCGAAAAGAACACGAGAGTACAAATCCGCATTAACCCTGCGTGGAATCGTGACCAAAAAGTACAAACAGTTGTGCAGCGAATCTGGCAGCAGTAGCAGTAGACCGTTATCATCCATGCTATGTTTTTCTTCGATGTCAAGTCCTCCGGTGAGACCACGAAGCATTAGGGCACGGGCCCCGAGTAAACAAGTAAAGGTGGTGGTGAAGTTTCCGACAAGCGGGCAGATGGTGGGGCGACACGGGTATTTGAAAGTTAGCAGTAATTCTGATTCGAGTAGCCTAAATCCACCTGAGGCTAGCCAGTCAAATGTTGAGTTAAGTGGTTCCAAAGGGAAGGTTGGAACAGGATTAGGGCGCCCAAGGAGGGTGAATAGGAAAAGAGCTCATCAAAAGTAGCCATAGTTTATATATATATAAACTTGGGAGCATGTGAGGCTAGACTGTTCTTGTAACACTATTTTTTTATACTTGAAACTTCACAGCAAAACACTATGAAGGTAACCTTCACGGTGTTTTTGCTTTGAAGGTTTGAATTCTTCTACATTCACAATGTTCTGCTATGAAGTTTCAAGTGTAAAAAAGTTGTCTCACGAAAACAGTTTAGTCTCACATGAACTCAACCCTATATATATATGTGTCTGTACATATATATAAGGTTGGGTCATGTGAGACCAACCTGTTTTCGTGAGGCCTGTGAGACCATGTTTTTGCACTTTAAACTTCATAGCAAAATATTGTGAAGGTAAAAAAAATCTGAATTTTTACAGCAAAAACACCGTTAAGGTTATCTTGCACAGTGTTTTGCTGTGGAGTTTCAAGTGTAAAAAAGTTTTACGAAAGCAGGCTAGTGTCACATGATCCCAAGTCTATATATGTATATATACATTGCCATCAATGGTTGTTTTTAGTATTAGTATGTGTACATGGAGTATATTCTTGTAAAAAGCTGTGGTGGTGTTTGGAGTTATGAATTGGTTTTCTTTTTCTCCAAAAATGTCTTCTACAATGACTTTGATATATACTGCTTCAAACACAAACAAACCTCCGTCTATTTCTTCAAAACAAGGGTGGTGACTGATTGGTTTGAGCTTGACTTCAAAGGTCAAAAGTGTCAGGAGGTACCAAGTTCAAATCCAAGGAGGAATAAAAATCTCCTTGTGGCCACGAAGGTTCAAATGCGGTGACTCCGGGTTATTTGCAAAGCATGTGGTCGCCCTGGGATTAGTCGGTTCGCATAGCGGGTTGGTTATCCAGGTTAATAGAAAAAAAGATGTGATATTAATCCACAATTCAGAAAAAACTTGTTCCAAAAGACATGATATGTTTGAACGGCCATTTTGTTCGATTCCAATAACTATAGAGACTTGGGGGTCGTTTACCAAATGGTTATTGGGTAAGTGCTTAATAGTAAGAGCACCACTCTCACTTACCGTATTGGTAACATTTTTGGCTATCAAGGTGGATTATTGGTAAGCGTCTTTTATTCGGTGAGTGCTTACAGAGTAAAAGTCTTCTCCCTCACTTACCAAGTTATAAGATTCTCGATTCTTGTTATATCTCTTACTGTGTAAGATTCTAGGTCCTTGTTTTGCCTACCCAAAAGGTAAGTGACACCCGATAAACGTTTACTCGGTAAATGTTTGATAAACGACCACTTATTCAAAGAAAATGTTTGGGATTGTTGAAAATATGAAATCCCGTTGGGATTTTTTGAATTTACCCTGATGATTTTACCACAGTAATTGCTTTCTGGTCTTTTTTATATTTCATAAGTGTCGGAAATTGCCACGTTAAAAGTGAAAATTTCTTTGGGCATGAAAGGTGGACCCGTTAAATTTTGAAAAGTGCTTTGAGATATTATAAAATACATGGAACATCAACCAAAAATACGAAAAAAAAATCCATAAAAAATACCAAAAAACAATCTCTTGAAATCCAAAAAAAAAACGAAAAAATTCCTCAAAATCAATCAAAAAAACTTAAAGAAATCCAATCAAAATAGTGGAATTTGGCTAAAAACACATCGAACGACTTTGTGGCATTTGATCCACCTTAGGTGCACTACTTAGCAAAAAATTTGGGTCTGCTACTGGTTTAGGGATGTTAACGTTTCGGTTCAGTTAATGGAGAAAATGTAAAAACGAACGCCATGAGGTGGATAACTTAGGTACACGAACCGAAATCGAACTATACGTTGAACCGAAATAAAGCAGTTACCAACCATTTGGTTCACGATTACCTGAATTTATAAAAAAATTATATACAATATGAATATAATACTAAAGTAGAACATTTATACAACAATTAAATAAAAATAATCAAAGATTATAATAAAGTAATATTTCTTTGTGCGAGCATATAGGTTTACATATTCGTTGGTTGTGTTTCTATATGACACGTATTGTGGGCGTATAAAAAGTTACACTTTCCCACTTGCACACGATAAATAGTAATATAGACAGACGTAAGTGTCTAGCAAAATGTCACCGCCCCCGAAGCCATGTAAATGCGTTTTCCTTGAGCAATTTGATTGATTGAATCAATCATATGGTAGAATCATCGATTATTCTTTTGCTTCCTGATATTTTAATTTGAACTTAAGGCGTAGATTTAACACATCCTTTGAAGTTTAAAGGTATGTTTCTCGATTCCAACATATTTGATTAACCAAGTACAACTACGAGCTGTTTGGCAATTGTTGAATGATTTGGTGTAGAATGATTAAGTCGTCAGAATGATTAAGAGACTCTCATGATATAGTGCAAAATTAAATATAATTGTTTGGTGATCGTGTACAATGAAATTAGGGCTCTTAATAGTTAAGAGAGATACAAGATACAAAATCATTTAGAGGGTTTTAGAACCATTAAGAGACAGACTTTTTTTTTTGCCAAACAAGATTCACTTCTTAGTCAAAGACCTTCCAGCCTAGTGGTAAAGGTTTGGGCATGACATAGTCATGAACCCGAGTTCGAGCCTTGGGAGAGGAGTGTTGTCGACATTTAAGTGAGGCCATGTTTAGCCTCCAAATTTGCCGGGGATTAGTCGGGCTTTGGCCCGGACACCCTTACAAAAAAAAAAAAAATATATATATATATATATATATATTCACTTCTTAATGATTCAGATGTTGCCTCTTAATAGAACTATTAAGAGGTAAACAAACAACCCCTTTCTACTAATCTGCTAGTACAGGGGCATGCGTATATATCAAACTATGTCATCGAGAGGTCTAAAAATATCTCTCTCATCTTGAGAGGAGGAAATCCAGTATTGCATATACCTTATACAAAATTAATGTTATACCGAATGTAGCCCTTATGATTACCCACTTAAGGGTAACGTTAAACTACATCAAAGTGTAATACTCATCATGCATTAGATCCCAATGTACATCTTAGGTCTGAGGATAAGAGTGTTTATCATTTCAGAACTCAGTTTATGACATCGATGTATGAAGTGATCCTGACTGTAGGTCTTGTCCACCGCTTGTGCACCAACAAGCACATGTAACTCTGGTTGTTGCACCTAGTGCATTTCCAACTTGGACCATAACCAGACTTCACAATGATCTTGATTTATTACTAGTCCCCTAATAATGATTGATCAATAATGATTTTAAATAATATGATCATTATAGTTATTTAAGGATAATAAACATGCTAAAAAGAACACAAAAATGTTTAATGTAAATACCCGTATTCAATATGTCATAACAGGTAAAAACATAATTGTTTCAACATTCAAATAAATATAGAATTTACAGATCAAATCAATGTATTACAAAACCTCAAGCCTATTGCAGTGGTGTAAGTATCATGTGTTAGCCCCAATTTGTATCATAAAAAGATAGTGTTAACGTCCAGAACCATTCAACAAAGATCATCCAAAGGCCCTTAACCTAATAATTACTCGGCAAGGCCGAGACCGCTATCTACTTCTGGATCCTACTTTTGGACTCAACTTCTTCTACATTGTTCAAATGTGAATCTAATACTGTTCAACCGTTCCCGCCTAAAGTCTGTTAAAGCACTCAACACATGGACTTTCTCCATTGGACAGGGCTTTGACTTAGTCTTATAGGCCTATAAATAGCAGTTCATTTCTTTTAAATTGTAAGCTTTTAAATATATTTTTACACACACTAGTGTGGGAACCGTGCGTTGCACGGTAACATGAATACTTTGGTCAATGATATAAAGATTATCTATATAAATATATGTTAGTTGTTAATAGAATCATCAACAAATACTATTTAAATAATTCAAAAAAGTTAATAAAATCTAATTAGTAACATTTTAATATATATATATATATAGAGAGAGAGAGAGAGAGAGAGAGAGATTTGTTTATTAATAAAGTTGTAAAATTAAATAAACTGAGTAATAATAACGACGGAGGTGTGGATAATTTATGCATTGTTTGTCTAATTGATAATGAATATATTTATCAGCATTAAGTATGGTTAGTTGTTCAAGCAAGCATGACCCGAAAGTCAACAATATACAACTATTATGTGTGAAGAGATACGCGTAATATGTATTGATAATTAGTTATAAGATAATGTGAAATGTTAATAAATGTAATGACATACATGTAAATACATGTTTTAAGAGGTGTAAGCCATCAAAAAAGTCTTGACTCTTGTTTGTTGTCAGTGCAAGCATGATTCCAATAGTAGTTGGTGATAATTGAGTGTGAATTACAACTGTTATGTACTCATTCTTTACCTTAATGCCCGCTATAGACATGGTTGATAAAGAAGATTAAAAGATAAATTTTTGTACATGTTTAGACTAAAAGATAGTCTGATAACTATTCGGCATAGAAGGATGCACCATGCATCCATCAAGTAAAATTGACTTCTAAGGTTTTATTGTTGTATGGGCCTAAAGTGGGCTTATGGAACTACTTACCGGCTGTTGTCTGACATTATTTGACTACTTCTTTTCGTTGCAACTTTTTGCTAGGTAAAAGACTCAAAAAAAGAGGAGCAAACATTGATGAAAAAACATTTTATATGTTATAATAAAATGAGCTCAAACTATAACTACTGATGAGACGCATATTTTTTTGGCGAACTAAGTTAAATTCATATTATTTAAATGATCTACCGGTATGTACAATATTATTCATCTACTTGTAGATGACGGAAAAACTAACTAACATCTTTAGCAAATATAAGTGAGCATTTCCCTTTCCATTCGTGATACCCTCCTCACAAAAATAATAGAAAGTAAGATTAAGAATTAAAAATATTAGAAAATAATTTTCAAGCCCAATGCTAAATAAGGAAAAAATCGCAATAGACTGATCAACATCTATATCTTGAAAACCATTTGAAAGATTACAAATCTGAAAAAATCATAACTCATATTTCTTGATACACTCTTCTA